CGGACAACGCGTAACCCTAGGTCAACGCCATTCAACGCGTTGCGATCAAAAAGTCAACATACGACGTTCAAAACCCTAAGGTCAACGCCGGACAACGCGTAACCCTAGGTCAACACCGATCAATGCGTTGCAACGAAGAAATCAATACTCCGAAAAGTATACGAGTATAAACTGCTTCTTAATACTCCGAAAAGTATACGAGTATAAACTGCTTCTTAATACTCCGAAAAGTATACGAGTATAAACTGCTTATTAATACTCCGAAAAGTATACGAGTATAAACTGCTTCTTAATACTCCGAAAAGTATACGAGTATAAACTGCTTCTTAATACTCCAATAAGGTATACGAGTATAAACTATTCCCTATTTTTGGTTGAGAAGTTCCTGGAGAATGTTTTTATAAACATTCTTAAGGATAACTCAACAACACGACGCCAGACAACGCGTTGCAGACAAAGATTCGACGCCAAGTTTAAAATAAATGCAGCACCGGAACTCTTACAACCATTCGACAAAGCACCGAATAGCCTGGAAGATTGAAGGAATCAGGAACGGAAGTCATTCCAAGGTCCCATTACACCGACTGAAGGTGGGGACAATCATATCCAAAGTATTCCAGACTCTTCTATAAAAGAACGAGACTGAAATACTTTGGAGGGGGTATCTGTAGGCATATAAAATTGCTTATAGGTCCCTTAGCTCAGCTCGGCACGAACCGACAAACCAACGAGGCGACGAGATCGACGAATCGCACGCAAGCGAAGCTGACGAACCGCACGCGAACGACGGAATGAATCCACTCGCGTGCGGAATCAAACCAACGGTTCAAGGAGTCAATGAGTCATCCATCCAGGCTTCCAAATCAGGATTCAGAACAAATCGGGGTTCAGAGCAACGCCACAGGCGAACTCGGATGAATCGCGATCGAGTCACGATCAGTTTTGGAATCAAGCTCAGAATCGGATTTACTGCCAAATCAGGAATCCGGTGCTCATCAACGATATCCATGGATGTATATAATGTTTAAATAATTCATATCTCTCGTGTAATCAAAATAATAACTATATTAATCATCTTCGGGATACCCATATATGTGCTATAACACTATATGTGGCCGAGCCACCCTGAGGTGGCCGCCCAGATCTGTGCCAAATGCGCAGATCTGGTTGCCTATAAATAGGCGGGATCATTCATCATTTGGGAGGTGGGAAAATTTGGAGAGAGGCGAAGCCCTGCTGGATTGGAGACTCAGATCTAAAAAAAGATCTCAACTTTGGGACTTCGAGGACTTGCTCATTCAGATCTGGTGCTCGGCGACCGTCAACGCCAAACAAGGCAGGTGTTCAAGAGGGCCGGATCTCAGATCTACGCAGACGTACTCCAGATCTAAGCTTGGTCTTAGATCCCGAGACTTGGACGATTGTTTCCTTGGTGAATCAATCCTCCCCGGCTATTATTTCTTTCGTGGAATAATACCCATCGTACTACGTAGATCCGACCGGATCTAGATCTCGCGGTGGTCCACGGATAAACCCCGGCGCAGGCAAAGAACCCCCACAAAAGCGAGTGACCGCAAAACAGGAGCTCGCAATTCGTTCGACAAATAAGGAGAAAGTTGTAATTTTCTTTATTTCTTGTGTTATTTGATTTTCGTTGTAACCGGATCTAAAAAAAAGACCGGATCTTTGTAACTCAAAAGGCTGTTATTTAAGATGACAATTGTTGCCGCCGGCTCATCGCACTTCGCCGCTGTCGAGCTCGCCTCCACCGAGGTAAGGCATCAGGTCTAAATTAACGTGTTAGTTCTAACTGAAATGCATGTTAGCTAGCTCTAAATTAACGTGTTAGTTTTAACTGAAATGCATGTTAATGCTACCGGGATGCATGTTAGCTCTAATGGAGATGATGTTAGTTCTATTACGAGGCATGTTAGTTCTAGTTGGCGTTCCTGTTAGATCTAGTGGATTTCATGATGGTTCTATCTTCCCTCATGCATATTCCTTGGATCTATCTTCTTCCTTTTAATTTCAGCTCATACATTACTTGGTTTGCAGCACTCACTCTATGGCTACGAGCCGGATAATTTAGAGCTATTTTTGCCATGTATTGTTAAATTGGATATAAACTTTAAATTTGGTTTAAACTATCGTTTAGAAATTGTTTAGTGAAATTGAAAGATCAACTTGATGACGTTTTTTGAGCGATTTTGAACTTCTTATATGTGATAATTTGATAGCTTGTATAGACACTCCACCAATTCTCTCACGTGAGGCAACAATGGAAGAAGATAAAAGCCAGGACCATGATCTACTATCTACAACATGGCTTCCCCCTCAGGTGATAATATCTTATTGTTTATAGTGTACTACTAACTAATGACATATACCAAAATAGTTGTCTTTTAGCATGAGTTTTGTTTCTCTATTTTTATAGGCATCCGAGCATGAGGAGAATGGTGATGAGCTTATGGGCGTTGAAAATGGTGAAGATAATTTAAACAGCGTTGATCCATATATCGGAATGGAGTTCTCTACTCATGAGGAAGCTTATAATTTCTACAATGCATACGCCAGACTTAAGGGATTTGGTGTTCGCAAGGGTCACACAGCTTGGTCGAGAAAGAAAGATGCAATCCTATCTAGAATATTTGTATGTGACAAAGAAGGCTTTAAATCTTTAAAAGATAAAAGAGAAGATGGTCGGAATGTAATTCGAAAGTTCGATACAAGATGTGGATGCAACGCAAGGATGGTTATTGGACTTGATAGAAGCACTGAAAAATGGGTGGTCCGAAAGTTAAACAGTAAGCATAATGGTCATCCATTAACCACCCCAACTCGGGTAAAGAAGCACTACTCACATCGGACACTTCATCGAGCTCAATCGACAAAAAGGTTGATAGATACTCTTGACAATCAAGGTTTACGGCCTTCTGCCATTTGTAAGGTTGTAGACGTTGCTCATGGCAATGAACAAGGCTCTCTCACTCAACAAGAATGCCAAGCACAACTTAGACTTAAACGAAGAAACAACGTCGGCCATGAGTGCGTGAACATAGTTCGTCAATTTCAAGAGAAAAAGGTATCTGATCCTCAATTTTACTTCGCACTTGATTTAGAAAATGATGGGACGATGAGAAGTGTTTTTTGGATGGATGGTAGGTCGAGGACTTCTTACTTGCAATTTGGAGATGTTGTTTGCTTTGATGTTACATATAGAACGAACAATTTAAAATTGCCGTTTGCACCATTTACGGGCGTTAACCATCATCGACAGTCTACTCTATTTGGGTGTGCGTTACTGGCCGATGAAACGGAGGAGACGTTTATATGGTTATTTAGCCAATGGTTAAAATGTATGTCGGGTATAGCACCAGTAACAATCATCACTGATCAAGATAAAGCTATGTGTGGTGCTATTCACAAAGTTTTTCCTAAAACTCGCCATCGCTTTTGTTCTTGGCACCTTCGTAGGAATGCCTTACAAAATCTTCAATCAATGCATAATGATTATGGTGAGGATGTTGGTGTAAAGTATAACAAATGGTATTGGAGTAAATCGGAAGAAAAATTTGAAAAGCGTTGGGAAGAAATGAGGGACAAATATGGTGCAGATAAAAGGAGTTGGTTAGTAAATTTATACAATCATCGAGATCATTGGGCTCCAGTGTATCTTAAAGACACTTTTACTGCAGGAATGACATCTACTCAGCGGAGTGAGGGAATTAATGCTTTTTTTGATCATTTTGTGAATGTAAATACCGAGTTACATGATTTTGTTAAGCTTTGTGAATGTAAATACCAAGTTACATGATTTTGTTAAGCAGTATGATAATGCTGTCAGAGCTCGCCGAGCCGCTGAACTTGAGCAAGATTTTAAGTCCACAGACTCAGTTCCTACATTGATAATTGAACATCCCATTGAAAAACAAGCTCGGGAGAATTATACGAAGAATCTGTTTACTATCTTTCAGAAAGAACTCAAGGATAGTTACTCCATGCTTCATGAAAAGTTGTCGAAGGACGGCGCAAGTGCTACTTATGCCGTTTGGAATATAGATAGCGAGGCTGAAAGCAAGAAGATAGTAAAGCATCATGTTGTTTTCGATACATCCAAAGAAAAAAGAATTAAGTGCTCTTGTGCGAGATTTGAGATGGAAGGTATATTATGCAAACATAGCTTGCACATTTTAGTAAAGAAGCAAGTATTAGAAATTCCATCAAGATATATCATGCAACGATGGACAATTAAAGCAAGACATGTTGGTTGCGGAGTTGTTAGAAATTGCATTACAAATAGTGAAGACCAACTATCTATCATTAAACATTGGGCCCTTAGGAGTAGATGTAACAAGGCACTAGAAGATACATTGACTTTAAGTACACTTCATGATAAGTTTAGTGCTTTTTTAGACTCATTTTTTGAAGAAGTTGAGAATTCCAAGATTGAGAAGGAACATAACGACAATGGAAATGAGAGCAATGCCAGCAATAAGATACCTACTTCATCCATACCCATTGTAGGCGTCAAAATTTGCCTATGAGTTCCCGTACGCCCTCGAGGCGAAATACAGACGATAAGCGTCATCATCCAAGTCAGGAAAGGATTATCTGGCCCCATGAAAGATAACGAATATATAAAGTGAGTCATTGGAGTGTACAAGTCAACGGAATGACGAAATGCGCAATACAAGTTCGGAGAAGTCACAAAGTGTCGAACACCTCAAAGTGGCCCGTAAAAGTAAGAGGCATTTAGACCATGATATGATTTGAATCTAAAAAAGTTCAAAACATGAAAGTTGTAGGTCTCTTCGTCAGCTTTCTAACACATCTTCGATCACCTCATTCTGAGATCGGACGATAGAGTTATAGTCAAAATACCCAAGACCATTTAGGCCGTTTTACGCCAGCGAGACACAATCTGTGTCTCGGAGAAAATAGAGATTTTGGCGATGATGTGGTTCTAATATGAAGAATCTTAAAGCATTAAAGTTGTAGGTCTCTTTGTTATCTTTCCAAAACATCTTGCATCACCTCAATCGGAGGTCATATGAAAGAGTTAAGACTAAAATACCCGAGATAGTCCAAGCTGTCTCGGACATGTGCGAGACAGTCGAAGTGACTCGAGCCCATGTCAGCTCCCGACGTGTTTTCTGATAAGATTGGCTTCTAGAACTCCTTGGGGTCATCCATAAACATGTGGGGTTATCTTTAAACATGTGGAAGTTGTTACACAACCGAAAACCCACCTAAACGGATAATAACGGTTGTTCTTTGATCCTATCCACAAACACTGCATTCCTATCCACAAACACGACATCTAAAGCCTATAAATACACCCCTAGCACCCTCATAAAATCAGATCTGAAGGGAGCCACGAATTTCACATGAGCTAGGGTGAAGGGCGGAGTTATTATCAAGAGGACGAAGTGCTGCCGGATTGAGGAGTCAAAGGAGCACGAATTTCAGC